GAGACGGCCAGCTCTGCTCGGCTATCATGAAATGGCTGCTGCCACTTGTAGCCTAGTTATGTCTTGTAATTAATGACTCCGGTTAATTCTTTTAATCACAACTATATTTGCATGCAGTTCTTGACATGTAAGCTAAGAAAAATAGTGCAAAAAGTTTAAATGAGATGTAGAAGAGGATTTTTTTTTTCCCCTACAATTTGTGTGAATATAATTGGATCTTTTCATTTTAATAGCTGTTGTTTTTCTGTGTATCCTAAAATTCCAGACAATTTCTGCAATTAATGCGATGTTTCACTTAATGTAATAATCTTCCAAACACATAAATGCATTGTTTTGTTTGTCAAGCATCATGAGTGTCAAACTAATTGCATGACCTGTTTAAAAATCAGACAAGCTTGTAATTATCTAACATTACAGAAAAACCCCTGTCTTTAATGAGAGGTTTCTGTCACTATTTAGTTGCTTCTCTTTACAAGCCTCAGATGAATGCATCTCATCTGTGTGTTTTGGTATTTGTAAGAAAATAGTTTTATCAATGGCCTTGCATGTGTATTTATTTATTTTTAATTTTTCAGCTACTCTAGATCAGCCTGAGATATGGGGTTCGGTCCAGCCTATCAATGCAAGTGTAGAGTCCCCAAAGCTACCGAGACCTTTTCCAACTGGAAGTAAGTGACTACTGTGCAGGTTATCAACCGAAAATAAATGAATATATACAGAAATCAAATCTTTTACTTTTCCTCATCAGGACTCCTGTACTGTGCAATTCTGTAACATTTTAATGCCGTAGCAAGTTAGAGGGATTTTTCTTCCTCTGGCTTGACTCTAGCTGCACAGCATTAGGGTGGAGGAAAGACAGGGGTTTGATAAGGGATGGGATGGACGGTACCCAGGGTTGGAGAGATGACGCATGTCCTCGTCCTCGTCGGTGAAATGTAATTCTGTCGGCATGTGCTTGATTTGCAAGGAGAAACATCTCTGGCCAGGGCAAATGGCCTGCATGGAGCCAGCGGTTAAACCCGCCCTGCCCTCAGAGGGGAGGAGTACCTGATCATTTGTGTTAATGATTCAGTTATTTGGCTGAAAGGTCGGAAGCACCGGTTTCTCTAGGCTAACATGAGGAAAGGCAACACAGCCCCAAATCCCTGGTTTTCACTGCAGCTTTCCCCATTGCCTGGGGCAGCTGGGGGAAATGCAGCTTTTCCTCCTCCCTAGCTGCAAAGTCATTCTTTCCTTATTCCCCTCTTCCTTTTTCCTCTCACTAGCCATTAGCACAACCTATTTCATGCCAAACCCAACCACCAGCCCTGGTGCTGCTGGCTGGCTGGTGCCAATGCGCCAAGGTCAAGGCAACCTCTGGCCACGTCACAAGCTTGCAAGGGGATTGTGACACTTGTGATTGAAATGGTTGCTTAATGGTGCTGAGCTGCAGCCTGGGCTGCTCCTCCAGGAGGTTTGGGCTTGGGTGCTATTTACACCTGCTTTGCAAAAATGCCCCTGTAAAGCAGTGTTGGGTTAATTGGCCACGGAATTCCTCCTCCCATATGTGCCTCCCAGATCCGTGCAGGATGGGCACATGAGAAACGCGGAGGCAGATAAGTGCCTCGGAGGCTACAGGTTTTAATTATAATGTTAATTCAGGTTTTAAAACATGAGTACAATCTAAGATTTAAAAATTAAAAAAAAAAAAACACCAAAAAAGACCTATCAAAAGAGGCCACCAGTGATTGCTTGTTGCTCAGTGAAATGCTGTAAACTCCCAGGCTGCAGGGATGCTCCTGCTTGCCCAGCAGTCATCCCAGGGCTCGTGCTACTGCCTGATTTGCACCTCAGCAGCACGCAGCCAGATCCCCTGTTCCCAGCGGAGCTGTGCACATTCCTGAACACCCTGCCACTGATTTTTTTTCCCTCTCTCTGCTCTGTTTTGCAGCGCCTCCACCGCTCCCACCGAAAAACATCCCGGCCACGCCGCCGCGCACTGGCTCTCCTCTGACGGTGGGAATAGGTAAAAGCTCGGTGTCGTGTCTCCTCGCGCGTGCCATTGCACAGCCCCAGTAGACTGATCCAGAGCCCGCGGGGGCTGTGCTGGGGGGTCGGGTCCCTGTTCTTTCCCTTGCATTCGTGGTGCTTCAATGGATGCTGCAGTCAGGGTGATGCTTTAGAAGTGGTGCAAAGATGCCTTTGACTCCAGAGCCAGTGTTGCCCTGGTGAAATTAATGCTCTCTCCTCCCCTGCCTTTGATATTGGTCACTTTTAGAAATGAAATGCAACAGTAACCTTAAAGTCCTGCTCAAAATTGTGAATAACTAGAGCACTGTTACTGCCTGGAATGGCACTGCACAGTCTGTGCTTATGAAATAGCAGGGCATGTGGTACCTGCCTGTGTTAGAGGGGCTGGTCCTGCCCTCCCTACACTCCCAAATTCCTACTGCTGTCAGGGAAGGTGGGAAAAGCCCCCCCTGGTCAGGCAGTCCAGGGCTGGCAGCTGGAGATGTGGAAGGGCAGGGGAAGGAGAATGAAATGGTACCTGGAGTAAAGGACAGCCTGAAGGAAGGGATTGAAAGATGTTGTTGAATGTAGCCAGAGGACATAAAGTGCTTATAAGCATATAATTCATGTTGCTGGCAGGGTGCTGTCTGCTGGAGCTGCAGGTTTTGAGGAAAGGCGGGCAGTCCCTGGTCTCTGGACAGGGACACTGTATGGACACACGCATACAGAGCACCTCGGGGCGTTATTAAAATTGCCATGAAGAAATCCCCTGCTCTGAGCTTACTGCTCTATCCATCAATATTTCATTCATGCTTCCATATCTTGATTTTTCTATTTATCTAAGCAGCCAGACTGGCAAAGTGTCTACCTACATATGTAGATGCATCAACACGAGCAAATGCAACGCCCAGCCATGTGTGACGGTTTATTTGCTGGGGTCTGGCTTGCTGCACGCTTCAGCCTGTGCGTCAAGTAAAGCAAGTGGCAGAGGTCTATTTTCTTCTGTTTTAGCAAAACTATATTTTAGTCTCTAAACGTAGAACCACAGATGGCTCCCCCAAATGCAGGAACAGGGGTGGGATGCTGACACGAGGACCCCGGAGGGCATGGTAGTTTTAGCAGCATGCACATGGCTGTAGCAGGGGCCATGGGCTCCTGTGCTACCCTGGTGCTGTGGCCACACGCTGTTCAGTCTGTGCAAAATGGAGTCACTGCGTACTGAGCAGCCTTCCTGACGTTAGAGAGCTGCCAGCTCCCAAAGCTCTAGCCCTCGGGGAAGAGAAATGCAAGAAAACAGGGTAGGAGAGGAAGGATGGAGGATGTCTCTCCCCTGGATGTGTAACATTTTGCTGATGAATCCTGTCTCCATGTTGGCTATGAAGTCGGATATGAACATTGATGTGTGGTAGCTCAGTTAGTGAGCAGAGCCCTAAAATACCCTTATCTGCTGCTGCTTGCAACCGAAATATATACACCCTGTCTGCTTTCCTGTACTGCATGCCCAGCACCAGTTCTTGCAAGTGTCAAGCCAGCATGTTTAAATATATATATTTATATGTGTGTGTTTATAAATATATATATAGCGGAGTGTGCAAGAGAGCTTAGCGCATAAGTTTTTAATATCTGCTGATAATTCAGAGTGGTGATAATGACGTAATGATGTTATCTAGATGATATGTAACAAAGGCTGAGAGTCAGCGGTAGATTTTAGGAGGATATGGGTCTGTTGTGTATGAAGTGATGGAGGAGGAGCTGGGCTTGGCTTGTGGTGCATGTTCTCTCTCATACAGTGTGTGTATTTCAATCCAGTGTGGTTCATTATGTGTTGCATATAACCTGACGTAGAAACTTTCTTGCACATGAATTATATTCCTTGGCAGCTTATAAGAAAACATGATTTTAAAGCATCTCCTCTAGAAAGTAGTGACATAGAGCCCTGTAGAGAATAGCGTGACTGCAGTGCTCTCGGTTAATGCTAAACTACTTTGACCACAGGAGGGGACCAGACAGCAGCAGAGCTCAAAAGTGACAAACTTCCGTCCATCAATGACTTGGACAGCATTTTTGGCCCCGTGCTATCCCCCAAGTCTGCTGCTGTTAACACGGAAGATAAGTGGGTCAATTTTTCTGATCAGTCCCCGGAAAACGTGACTCCGGAGTTGACGCCCCAGGAAAAAGCAGGGTCCCCACCAGCGGCAGTGGGCAGCCCGGCCGATGCTCCAGCGGCTGAGCCCTCCCGCCCGATCCCTTCGCCGCTCCACCTGGAAGAGGTTCACAAGAAGGTTTCTGAGCAGCCCCACCTTAAGGATGATAACTTGGAGCCGGCTGCCTCTCCCAAAGATTTTGGGCTGGGACAAAGAGCAACCCCACCTCCCCCTCCACCACCCACCTACAGGACAGTGGTCTCCTCACCTGGACCGGGCACCAGCAGCGGCACGGGAAGCACCAGCGGTACGTCCCGCAGCCTTGGGTGTGCTTTGGTGTGGCCGTGACCGCATCCGCCATCCCCTCCTGCCTGGTTGTGCCTGTGCCCAGCGCCCATGCTCCCACCCAGCCGTCTTGTGCTTCCACGTCCAGCGTCTGCCCTCAGCCTCCTGTGTCCTCTCCCCTGCTCCTTGCTGCGTGTCTCATGGTCAGATGGGTCTGACAGCCTTTCCCCAAAGCTCTTGTGAGCTGCCCTTCCTACCTCTGCTACGCACATAACCCCCAACACAAAATTAGGCATAGGATTGCCATTGCTGCAGCTCCATCCTCACTAGGCTTCAGAGCGAATATAGGTGGAAACGTTTTGGACAAATAATCTGAGCAAGCCTCAGAAGTAGGGGAATTTTAAATCTTTTGCAGACAGACAGGTCGCTGCATACCATCACCCCAGGGCTGCCGAGACCAAATAACTCGCAGCTCAGAGATGGCATGGGTCTGAACGGCGCTTGGTCCCTCTCGGCTGTGAGAGCGTGGATGCCCAGCCACATTTGGAGAAATGGCTTCAAGGATGAACCTGTCACAAGGGCAGAACCTGATAGGTGTGTCTGGCATGGGCTGGCTGCCTGGCTTCACCTGTTTAATTATAAATGTCTCCATGCCCATTAGGGCACACGAGCTCATCAGAGGTCAGCTTACACAAGTTCTTCCACAGTGCTTGAGAAGGTGCAACCTGATCCTGTTATTTTAGAGGCTGACTCCAGGGCACTTACTGTACTGGTGCAGCTATGATGTGCAAATTCCCACCCCCACCAGCTGCTGCGCTGCCGTCCTGCATCGAGAAATTATTTTTGAAAGCATTACCTCGCAGAGTCTTGCAGACACCTCAACCTGTGCAGGCAGTGGTGGGAGATGATGGGTGTGTTGGGTGCACAGCTCCCCAGCCCTGGGCCCGACCACTGTCACCAGCCTCATCTGAGCTTGAAAGCTGTGTCATCTTTGGGGGTTCACCACCTCTGGGAGTGTGTGTGGGGCTGCTGGGGGTACCCCACCAAGTGTGGCGGCTGCTGTGAGTGTGGCTTCGCTTTAGTGGTGGTGGCTTTTCTGTGCCAGCTTGGCAACGCAGCTGCGGGGTGGGTGGGGGTCCGTATGGGGGCTGCAGCATCCAGCTGCCGATGGCACTGGTCTGAGCTGGGACTTCTCTGGGAGATTGGCAGCAGGAAACAGCAAGCTTCTTCCTACACTGTTCTCCACCCTGATGCCAACTGAGCAACTGCCTTGCGTGAGCGGGGATCCGCAGGATGGGGATGTACTGGTGGCTCCACATGTGGGGATGGATGGAGAAACCCCACTCGGTGAGGCAGCACTGCCTGTTTGGGAAGACCCACGTCTCTTCCCCAGAAGTTACCTCCTATCTCAGTTCAGCGTGCTTTGCAGCCTGCTGCCTCCTCAGCCTTAGCCAGCCCAGCGTGGGACAGTGAGCTGTAAAAATGCAAAGTGTTGAAATACACACACAAAAATCATGCAAATCTTCAGAAAGCTGCATCCTGCGGCAGCTGGTCTGGGTGTGTGGTGCAGATCCAGCACCCTTCCAGCTCCTGCCCTCTCCGCCTTTCCAAGGCCCCTGTTGCTGCATCTGGCCCTGGGGGTGTCTGGCTTTCGGATGCCTCAGAACAGAGCCATCCCAGGATGCCCTCCTGCCTTTGTATCCCATGGGAGCCCAGGCTTATGGGTGTCACCGAGGCAGGGCTGGGGACTGGCATCCCAGCAGGCTTCTGATTTCATGCTGATTTACAACATGCATGCCACAGTTTCTTGTTGCAGAAAATAGCTAGAGGTATGTTGGTCTCCCAGGGACCTTAAATACCTGAAGAATAAACCTCCCTGGATGAAAGCTGATGTCTGGCAGGGCTTTGGCTAGCTGGTGGCCACTCTGGAGCTGGGGCAAAATGCCTCCTCAAAGTATCTACCTTGTAACACTCGTTCATTGCTGCTAAGTTACTTTCTCTCAATAATTCCTATTTTGTCAGGTTTTTATTGGGATAAGGAAGGAAAAATTCAAACTTTAGTTCCCAAATTAGGCTTCTAAATAAAAATGGCTTGAATTTTGGAGTTGCACAAATGAATAGCCAGGATTTATTCTCTTTAAACAAGCCCATTTCTCATCCTAGCCTTCTGTCATTTACCTGTCAGTCTCATTTCTATAGCTCTAGCTTTGATATTTCCTTAATCTGAGCTGTCACCCAAAAAACTTAGTGAACTGATTCTCTTGTAAGTGGGAAAAATAAAGCTAAAGACATAGCCTTATTGTCGCTGTGAGCAAAATACGCTGCTCTGCAGATCGCAACGCACTGCTGTGCTCCATAGAGGCTGGTAGCAAATGCCAGTTCAGCCATCCCGCAAAATGGGGTCTGCATCTCCTCCCACTCCTGCCACCCCTCTTGTCTTGGTGCAATCTCTGACTGCTCTGTACAGCATCAGTTATTGAACTTACCCTGGAAGGAATTTCTGTACATGGAAAAAAATAGTCTGCTGGGTATCCTCTTAAGTATCTGTTAAAATTTCAATTTGATTGCAAAAAGTCCCCCTTCACAGCAAGGCAGCAGCCCCTGGGGACCATATGAACCCTGACGACAGCACCCTCTTGTTCTCTGAAACTCTTCCAGAGGGCTGGGAAATGCTTTGCACTCCCAGCAAGTCTGATAACCTTGCTCTTTCACCCTTCCTCTTCTTCACTTGGACAAAGCATTGCCCCTCTGACCAGGACCCCCTCATTCCTGTGGTGGAGGACCAACCCTGCTTGCTGGCTGCGCCACCCTGGGAGCTGGTAGAACCCCAGGAGCTGTGGCATCAACACCGGCTGCTGCAGGGGTTAAACTCATTCTCGGCACATCATTTTTCTCCTGCCCATGTGGCTAGTTTTCAGGCAAAGCCGTAAGATGACTCCAATAATTTTGCGCAGCGGTCCTGGCTGAGGGGGTCAGGTACCCGGCGCAGATGGGCAGCCCCTGCAAGAAATGCATCAGCATCAGGAACCCTGAAAAGCTCTTCTCCTGTGCAGAGCTGCTGGCGTGGAGCAGCTGTTGAGGGGAGCTTGTGCAGGGTGTGTGTGGGCACCCATGCCGGCTCCTGGGGGAGAAGCCTTTGCTTTGAGATGGAGCACGGGTGGGCACAGGGGTCTGGGGGGATATCTGTGGGGGCCATCCTGCTGCGTACTCACAGCTCCTGTTTGTTGCAGGTTCCTCGTCCCCGGCTCGCCCTGGCACACCGCTGGCCGCTTGCAGCACCCCTCCGCCACCGCCGCCCCGGCCCCCCTCCCGGCCCAAGCTGCCCCCTGGCAAGCCCGCCGTCGCCGACGTGGTATGTTCACGGCCCTGAGCAGGAGTGTGGCATCCATAGGGGATGCATGCACTGTGGGGGCGGTGGGTCTGCATTTGCAGGCTGGTGAGACAGATTAACAGAGTGGAGCAAGTCATTAAGAGCAAGTAACTAGTGGGTGCTGTCTGGGCCGTTTGGAGTTTTCTATAATTTATTCACCGAGACAAATTGCACCTGGGAAAATGGCTGTGAACTTCTCCTGCTCTGTCTGCTGGTGCAGCCCAGAGATGCCAACCACAGGCGAGCAATGGTTTGCAGTTACAGTAAAGGCTGAGGGTAAAGCAGTGTGGGTCTGGCCGTCCTGGGAAGGGTGTCTGGCTGGGGGGGGCTGCCTGGCAATCTTTGGTGGGGCTCCCCACCACCGTACTGCACTGGCTGGGCTGCTGGGTTCTGCCCCGACACTCCGGGCTGCTTCATGTAAGTTGTAGAAAATTTTTGGATTGATGTCATGGATATAAAATTATCCCTAAAGGATCCGTAAGGACTCAATGAGCTGCTCTCAAGTGAGCTGGCACGTAGTGGGCACCACTCTCTTCCCGATACCGGGTGCGTTAAATCCATCCCATGGGCCCCACAGCTCTCATCCTTGGTGCAGATGGGGACTTCAAACACCCATACCCACAAGATGGTGGGAATCATCTGCCGTTTTTCTAGGTCCAGACTAAAATGCTATTGGCACTAAAAGAACTAAAGTTGTTCAGTTTTGCACTAACCCAGCGGGGCTGCCCCGGGACGCCAGCGGAGCCGGCTGGCCTGGAGGTACAGAGGGTTACGGCTTCAGGCAAAAGCTTCTGTTTGTTTGATGCAAATGTCACTGTGCATGTTTTCTTTAACCTTTTGTTATTTTATGTTTTTCTACAGTCCAGGCCTTTTAGCCCTCCTATTCACTCATCCAGCCCTCCTCCGATAGCACCTTTAGCCCGTGCTGAAAGTACTTCTTCCATATCTTCCACCAATTCCCTGAGTGCAGCCACCACTCCCACCGTTGGTAAAAACATACAGCACTGCTGTTCTTTCACCTTTCCTACCTCTGAACATCCTTAAATATTCCTGAAACCTTGCTAGATTGTTCTCCAGTTTCACATTCATTAATTTTCATCAGGTTTCAAACTGCAAAAAGGGATTTGTGGGGGATGTAACAGATCATGAACATGATGCTGCTAGGGAAGCTTTCTTTGTGGCAGCTCCGAATGTTGTGCAAAATGAATGTTTGGTGAAGGCAGAGGTTATCACTAAGTGAAATATAACATAAAATGTGATTATGGTCTGTAAATGTAATCAAAATAAGCTTTTTTTTTGCGGGGGATGTTTGTACCCTGGAGGGGAGGGGGGCTGGAAGCCAGACCTTGGGATCCAAGAGACAACTAATATTAAATCTCTTTGAATGTCTTAAATTCATACTTCCCCTTAAAGTGGTAGCAGGAAATGGGGTCTTGGAAAAGGCTCTTCCAAACCATTAGCTTGGCACGCCCTAGACCAGAACAAAGTGCTGCAGTTTTCTTTTGGAGGAATGTCCTGAAAAACGTGGGTTTTGCCAAAACCCCCCAGGTGCCCCCTGGGGCCTGAGACAAGAAATGCAAATAAAGTCTGGCTGGCAGCTCCCAGGCTCCACACGCTGGGTCCCCCCGTGCCTCCCTCCTCCGTCCCCTCCATCCCCTCTGTCCCCGCTGCCGGCGTCCCTCCTCTGCCATCCCTGCCTTCCCACCCGGCTGCCAGCCCCACCTCCCCTTGCTTCCCGCAGCTCCATCTTCTACTAGGAACATCCCTCCTTTTTTCTTTTCTTTCCATGTTTTTTGCGATGAGCACACCTGGTTTGCGTGGCGGGGAAGGAGCTTTGCAGGCCATGGCTGGCATAGGCTGGGAGATGGGCTCTGCAGAGGGAGCTAAACCCCAACCCTCTGAAAAGCCAGACCTGGCTGGTGTTCGTGTGTGCTCAGCCATGGTCCTGGCTGCAGCGTTTCCCTCCAGCTGTCATGTTACGAGCCATGGGGAGCAGCAGCATCGTCACCCCAACAGCATCCAGCAGATGGCTGGAAGACGATGGGATGGCCCGAGCCTTGCGGCGCATGCTGTCCCTGTGGTGCTGGTGGCTGCGCGTGCCCACCCGAGCCCTCCCCGTAGGTTTTCTGGAGTCTTCAACCTGCGTCTCCATCCTGTTGTTTGCTTCCCTCTCAAGGTGTCGTAGATGCTTGTGTACCTGTTCGCCGGCTGTTGGTCACCGTCAGAGCATGCTGCTGGAAAAAAAATGCATCTCAAGCAAGGGGCCAGCCAGCCCTGAGCATCCCTGGTGTGTCAGCTGTCGGTCCTGTCTGTGCCCGCTCTCCTGCAGCTTTGGCAGTGAGCTTCCGCCAGTGGGACTGGTGGTGGCCTCAGCCAGTGCCTGTGGGCACGGTGGCCATGGGGCACTGGGACCCATGGTGGTAAACATGATTTTGGTGGAGGGAAGCAGTCAGGCTGAGCACAGGGATGGTTGTGGGGGCTTCAGGAGGCTGGGAGAAGTGGCTGTGAAATGGGGGCTGCGTGCTGGTCCTGTAGGCTGAGCAGGTGACGGGTCCCTTAGGCTCTCATTTTAATTTTTTTTTTCTCTCTAACACATATTTTTGTGAACAAAAATTGCTGCTTGATGTTTTTAATCACCTACCCACCCTGAGCAGCAGAGGCTTACATGGCTGCAGGGGGCAGAGAAGCTGTGCCCACTGGCCCCAGTGGCTCCCGCCCCCTCTGTGGGGGTTTCCTAGAAAGAGAGCTGAAATCAGCGCTCTCAGGTGACCCCTCAGCAGGGGGACGCTGAACGGGGCAGCCAGGAGGAGCACCCCCAGGTTGCAGGTTCTGCACTTCCAGCTCCATGCAAACCAAGTGTCGGGTGCCGTGTTCCCAGGATTTGGCCTGGGAAAAGCCGGACGGGGGGACAGGCAGGGGCAGATGGGATTTGGGAGCCACTGCAGGAAAGCCCAAGCATCTCCCCCTTGTCCCCACCAAGGTGGCCAGGGTGAGGGTGGGCACTGGGCGAGCATCCATGCAGCACTCACCTTGCAAAGCCATAGCGGAGGAGACAGCGCTTCTAATTCCTGGGTTTGTCACGCAGAAAGAGAAAAAGATAAGGTGAAAGGTGTGCAGGGCAGAGAAGGGGCCAGGAGCAGGGCTGCGTGGGCAGGGACAGGCAGGTCTGTGTGCACGGCAGCGGGTCGGGGACCACTGCGGGTCCCGTGGGACTGGCACGGGGCTGGGACACTCCGACCTGGCTGGGGCTGCCCACAGCCCTCGGCTTGCTGCCGGGTCCGTCTCCACCATGCTCTCCTTGTTTCCTGTGGCAGAGTCCGATGGAGTTTGTCCAAGAGCATGTGGAAAAGTTATTGCGTTTATTTGTCCTCCATACTGTACTGGTTTGCTATCGTTGTGGTTGTATGTGCAGTCTGAATAATTTATTGCAAAGAAAGAAACTGTTATTTCTGTGTCAGTGCCCCTTCCATTATTTTTCTCGTTAAAATCCTTCTTTGTCTTTTTTCATTGATACAGTGCGCTGCTTGATTTCATTTGGGATTCATTTCTTCGTTCTTTTTTTTTTTTTTCTTTCTTTTGCGTTTTTTCCGCTTATGTTATCAGAAGATGATGCTTTTATTGACAAACTGCCCGCGTTTGAAAGGCGCTGTGAAACGCCTGCAGGTACTGTACTAGCAGGGCGCTTTCGAGACATCTGGCTTTGGAGCGGGCGGCTGCGGGCACCCCGAGTGCCCGAGCCCCAGCACCCACCGCTCGCAGCACCTTGCATGACAGTTTCTCAGTGACAAAAAGGACTGCGAGGTGAAAGACTATCACCTCCTGAATTCAAAAAGGTTAATTTAACAGCTTGAAAAGCTGTTTTTTTTCACTCTACTCCTAGCTATTTCAACAGTACCTGGTGTCTAACATGGCTTTTGAGGCAGTGTGAGTGTAGGGAGCTCGTGGTTGTAATGGGAAAGGAAAAATTCCAGTTAGGTATCTCCTGCTCTCTGTGCGTGTGTCTGTTTATCTGCAAGTTTTATGTCCTGAAATGCAGCAGAAAATACCTACATTTCACTGTCACTTATTTTGCACTTGGGTGCGGCATGCGGTTGCAGCATCCCGCTGGGGAAACGCTCGCTGCTGCTGTTGTAGCACCGCAGAGACGTCGCTGGAAGCGAAGAGGATAAGGCGTGTTTGCCAAAATCAGCGCAGTTAAAATATACTAATGGAGCGCATGAGCCAAGGAGCCTCTTCTACTCTAGACAAAAAAAGAGACCACCCCCAAAAATCCTTACCAAGCGGGCAAAAATACTCTTCCATCCGGGCTTCCATAGCTTTGCTTTCTGCTTTCTGTTTCCTAAGCCAAAACCAGAATTTAAAAGCTTCCCCTTTCCTTGCACGTGAACGGCTTGCAGCGCCTCGTCCCCTCCCCGTAGCGAGATAAATGACCTGCTCTGTGACTCACACTGTGTCCTTCTCTCTCCCTCTCCTTAACCTTTCCCATCCCGCTTCAACTCCTGGCCATACAGAGAATGAACAGCCTTCCCTCGTTTGGTTTGACAGAGGAAAGTTTTATTTGACTTTCGAAGGTAAGTAGTGCATAGCATACCTGGTAACGACTTGCTCCCCTTGCTCTTGCTCTCTGACTCCCGGGGTTTCCTTCAAAGGCTCCAGTCCGGCTTTCCATGCAAAATGCTATGGCTACTTAGATGACATCACAAGTTTGACCAGAATAATTTTGATTTGATTTGTGCCATTTGTCCCAATGATCTGTTTCCCTGTTTATTTATTAAAAAAAAACCCCAAACAAACCAAAACCCAAAAGAATATTCTTGTACCGAGACTGCAGTTAAAACCAGAGAGCGAAACCACTTGCACTGCTGAGGAACTTGACTCTGTCAACCAGGGCTTCTTTCTACTCTCCCTCGCAAGCTGCTCGTTACCCTGAGCGGGCTGTGGCACAGTGTGGTTAATCAAAAACCAAAGGGTGATGGGTTCTCCGCCAAGCCGGGGCCCCCGCCCCACCTCCCATCAGATTTTTCCATGGCGAGGGGTCGGGAGCATGCTGGCACTACCAGCAAGCATAGCTGAAATGCCACAGGGTTGTGCTGCCAGGGCGGCTGTTCAGAGGCATTGCGGATTTCGGGGTCCCTTGTTGATGAGAAGGCACGCTGGGGAGGATGCAGGGGAAGAAGAGCTTGCTTTGGGGCGGGTGGCAGCTTCTTTGAGCAGCATCGCGTTTCGGAGAGCGCAGAGGCATGGGTGCCTGGGCGGCCAGTCCCGCTCCAAGAGCTCTGAGGCTTTGGAGGAAGCCTCATCTCACAGACATCGCGCCAATGCTTTTGTTTAAAAGAAAAGTGGGGAGGTTTGCTAGCAGCTGGAATAGGTGCTTTAAAACCTGAAGGAAGCACTTTGACGCTGTTGTGGTGCTTGCAGGCAGAGCTGGGCTGGGGCTAGCTGGGGGATGCTGCTGTCACAGGGCACGCCGGAGCATGGTTCCTGTGGGTCTCGCTTTCTGTGAAGCGTGTGATCCTTGTCCCCTCCAGCAAATAGCCAAGTGGCCCGGGATTGCGCTGCCTAGCCACTGAGCACGGGGTGTTGGTGTTTATGGAGCAAACACTGGTTTGGTGAGCATGATGCTGTAGCAGCAGCAGAAGGTAGGGATGGAGGTGGTGGTGACAGGGGGGTTGGTTTCTTCTTTCCTGCTTTCTTGCCTTTTAATCGGCCATAGCTGCTGGGCCCCGAGGTCCCCATTCCGACAGCAGCTCCTGGCTTAGACCTGGGAGGGAGCCGGGGAGGAACTCCTCCCGATTCTCATTGCAGTTTTGCTGTTTCCAGCAAAAAACCCTTCCTGGGTTTCCTTTCCCAGGTGTTGACTGCCTGCCCGGAGCTTTGGGAAGAGCTGAGCGTGGTAGGGCAGGGGCTGCCGAGGGCTGTGCCGGCTGATTGCTGGGTTGAAGCAGCCGCCTTCAAGCGTTATCCCTCAGTATGTGTACCCTGGCACTGCGTGTCCCCACTGACCACCCTGCTTTGTGTATCCTCCTCCCCCTCGCTCAGCCTAGCACCAGCACTGCGAGCACATCTAGTGTTTGGGGGTTTTCTTGTGATTTTGCATATTAATGTTTTTGAATGGTATATTTGAATTCTTGTACTTTGTTATGGCAGTGTGAATGGTCTAGAGTTGGGAGCGTGGGTTTGTCCAGGGCACGCTGGCCAGCTGGCACAGCAGCAGGGCTCATCTCACGTCCTGGGAAGGAGCTATCTGGCTTCCACACACTGTATTTCCTGATTTATCCCTAAATCTTTGAGTCCAGCTTAAAAAAAAAAAAAAAAAAAAAAAAAGCTAAATTTCAATGCTTATCTCTAGGTAGGTGAAAGGAGATCTGCTGAGTTTGGCACCTGTAACTCATAGCATAAAATGCCAGAAAAGAAATGATCTTTTGTTTCTGCGTTTGGTTTGGGTTTTTTTTTTTGCGAAGATCCATGTATTTACAGAACATGGGGTAGTTTGTTCATGTGTGAAAAGACATGGTGCAGCTTTGGTGATGCTCTCCTGGATCCACTCCAGCATCACTGGTACTCAGCTGTTATTCCTCCATGTCTGTATTTTCCACCTTTGTGTAGGG